TTCAAGTTCCTCTATACGATGCTTTCTTTGGCTGAGCTCCTTGGATTGGGTCTCCAGATGTTCTTTAAGTAAACTTGACTCTGCCCTTAAGCCAACAAAGAAGAAGGCAAATCAGTCAATTAATTCAGCAGTAAACAAACAAAACTCCTTTCAGAAACCACCTAATACCTACAATAGTAGTACAACCACAATCACTTTGAAGATGACAAGCCCCAAATTTTGAGAAACAACCTAATTCAACACCTTTAAATTCATGTGCTGTGAAAAACTCAGTGATCTCAAAACAGAAATGGGTATAGTCATGTTAACCTAACTTTTTTAGAAACGTTATCAATTTATGGCATAAACTTTGCAGAAGAATTCTTTCTACCAACTCTAGTTTTCAAGATATTTCATGGCAAACATTCACTCAGAGTTGAGAAAACGAAATAATACAACTCTGTTACTCTGACAATTGGGAGGTTTTCAACTTGTTAAAAGTATCCTTCATGGAGTATATGGTTGTTAGGTTTTTCTATCTTAACTAGTTAGTTCCTGAAGATCATTCAATAATTAATATGCAATATAGGCTCATTGTTTCAATCTGATCTTACCTACCAAGTGGGTTTGCATGCAACAGTATATATTAATAACATCACCCTACATCCTCTACCCTACCCACAACCCACCTTCAGATGAACACTAGGGACATTAATCAAATAAATTTAGATTGAAACTAGAGCAACAATAAAATTCCATGACACAAACCTGCTGAAACACCTATTCCCAGGCTTCCAGCAATACCTCAAGAAACAATCAAATCCATGGGTCATGGTACACGTGAAGCACCCAAATCCCAACAACTACTAAGTCGACGAACACCAAGCCACATCCCCAATCCCCCCACCAAGCCCCCACCCCACCCCAAGAAAAAAAGAAAACCACCAAAATTTCCTTCTGCCATTAAAGTGTAATATGACAGTGTACTTCCAGCGTGATTGCGTGATAATATATGTATGGCAGGATGGAAAAAAAAGAAAAGAAAAAAGATTGCTAAAGGCCTAAACCGGTACGCAATTGGTACAACCAAACTGAAGCATAATTTAAGCCCTAAAGATCAAATGTTTCGACTAGAAGCCAGGAATCATAAATTCCAAATCACATGAATCTCTAGCAGAGTTATTAAATGAAATTTTTTGAAAGAAAGGATGAGCGAGGGATATATTGTCCTCTGTTTGGATACAGATTTGGGGAAGGGGATGGGAAGGATCCATTTTCCATCTTCTCTTGAAAAACCAGAACCTTATTGTTGAAAAGATCTAGAATGAAACTGCAAGCCCCTTTCCTCCTTCCCCTCCCTTCCCTCTTTTCCTACCTTCCCATTCTCTCTAAGATTGCCAACCAAAAACAATTTCAAGGAGTAGCTAATATGAAGCAAAGAACACTAGACAGGTATATGAAATGCATATTACTACCAATGGTTCAAATTCAACATTGCCTGCAATAAGTACAAGATATAAATCTGTCTTAGGTTCTCATAAATTAAGGATGTACCTTAGCTCATCCACCGTATGTTGAAGCTCAATCATCTGCAGTTGTGATTCCTTAATAATACCCTCTAAAGCACCAGCCTAGACAGCGTCAAACAGATAATTTCACCATGAGAATGGAAGCATTATAAACACAAAAGAAAAAGAAAAAAAAAAACAGATAAATTGAGTATTTTTACCAGGGCATATATTTCATCATCTTTTGTCTCCTGTGCACCTTCTTTACTCGCATCTTCAAGAACATTGCCAAACTTAAACTCAATCCCTGATTCTCTTAAACCATTTTCTGCAACTTGGAACACAGTATTTGTTTCAGATGTTGAAACTGAGGCTAACCTCTTGGACAGAGCACTTCTTAGCAACACCCCTACATGCTCCTTCTCCCTAAATAATCGAGCAACTGTTTCATTTAAGCTTTTAACCTCACGACTCTTTTCTTCCACAATGTCCCTCGTCTTTGCAATCACAATTCTACTTAGTTCATAAATGGATTCCAACCCAGCTAACGAAGCCCGTATATTCTCCTCCAATCCCGTCTCCTGAGGAAGAAACAAAGACTCTGACAGCTCCGACTGATCTCCATTATTAGCATCCACAATCTTGATCACATTATACAACTGATCATGAATCTTTGACACAAAACCTAACTGCTCCAAAAGCAAAGGCCTTTGCTTCTCCATCTCCAACTCCAACTCCCTTATCCTACCATCATATTCATCCACTAACTTCCTCAACTCCTCCCTCTCATTCTCAACAGAGCCTATCCTCTCCAACATACCACTCTCAATCGCCTCCAACTTTCCATCCTTCTCAGCAGTACTCTTCTCTAAATTCTCAATTCGACCATTCTTCTCAGTCACCTCATCCCTCAACTGACTAATCAATGCCTCGAGCTCAGAAACCTCAATAGCAATCTCATAATTCCTTTGCTCCATCATTCCACGAGCCTCATCCCTCGACTTGGTAATCGATTCGATATGTTTTACCACCTCCTCAACTATCTCATTCGTCCTCTTGATCACCCCATAAGCAACAGCAGGCAAACCAGTATACTTCTGTGATCTGGGCAAACCCCCAGCAGTAAAATTCTTAATATGATTAACTTTCCCTGAAATTTTCTCAATCCCAGTAACCAACATTTGAGCAGCAGCCTCAATTTCCGCCCTCGAAGACTCCTTCCCCTTCAATGCTTCCTCTAACTGCTTCGAAACCTCGTCTTTCGCCTTGTTTACCTCTGACAACTCATTACTCAGTTTCTCATTAGCCCTAATCGCATTATCTCTCTCCTTAATCACCTCATCTCTTTGAATCGCACTCTCATCTCGCTTCTTAATCGCCTCACGAGCGAGTACTTTAAGCCGATTAAATCGAACTTCAAGCTCCGATTTCGAGTTTTCAGCAGTGATTCTTGCTTGCTTTTCACGATCAAATTCAGCGAGTAATTCATTGAATTTCTCAACGGAAATTTCCGATTCCGGTGAATTAACGGCGGGTTTAATCTCTTCCTGTTGATGTTCGTCCTCCTCTAAGTCACTCAATACGGCGTCGGATTCTTCTTCGCCGGCGTTAGCCATGGTTGAAGGAATTCGATAATTAAGCAAAGAATTCTTATTGATTGTGATGATTTAGTTGCATAATTTGATTGTTAATTTTGATCAAAGATTGTGAATTTTGATCTTTGATTTGTGAATTTTACGATGGCAAATAATCGAAATTCAGAGGTGAAATTCGAAAACCCTAGGAAAAAAAGAGGGAAATTTTAGTAAGAAATAGGGATGAGATCATACCTTAAGACGCAGGTTAAGAGGAGAGAGAGTGTGGAGAAGACGACAATTGGCACCAACCAGTCCACCTTGTTCCTCTCCTAGTTTCACTCTATTAAGGAGTTTCCAAAAAATGATCTATATCTTGATTTTATTTATTTATTTATTTATTTATTTGAATAGCGATTTACATCTTGATGAGTTTGCATGTAATGACCCAAATCGATTACCCTCTCTTTATTACTAGTTTACTACTACTATACAAATCTTACTATGATTGGCTTTGGTGATGCTCCGGATAATCACGGGTCAGGCTTTGGTCAAAATATTAATTTGTTTCAGGCCAAAGCCTTAGGTTGGTTTGAGAAAAAATCATAACCAAACCCGTCAATTTGGGTTAATTGGGTCGGGCCTAATATTTGACTAAAAATATAAATTGGGCTACTCAAAATTGAAATATTATACATGTATAAAAAAAATTAAAAAAATCAAGCCCAAATTCGATTTTTTTTAAAACCGGGCCAACTTTAATCAGATCTAGTTATGAATCTATACATGAACAAGTAAAGCGTACGAGTTTGAAGTTTCTTTTGGCAATAGTGAAACAAATATATACCCTATGCTTTTTTTTTGTCACCAGAACTAGTCAAATTATGGACTCTAAATACAATACTTCTACTCTTCCAGGATATGATTACAACATAAGTATTATAAAGAGTTGTACAACGAAATTACTTCCTTTGTATTTTAATAAGTGTTGCAGTTTGACACTTTGACCAAATACGCATGTCGAGACATGACTTTGACCATTAATTTATCTAATTATATATTTGTAAAATTATTTTTTTAAAAAAATAATATTATGAAAGTATACATTATAACAATTCCAACATACAAGCAATAACATTTGTTTTTTATATATTAGTAAATGAATCAAGTCGAACTGTAACACTTATTAAAGCACGGAGGGTTGGAGGGAGTACACCTATTACTAGCTTCTATCTTCTATATCTTCCACACCCTTTGCTCTTAATAGTTCTTTAGTACATTAATAGTTTGTTTGTAAATCCATAGAAATTGTGTAGTTTCTTTCATGGACTCACGTATTATGATGTTAAAATCAAAGATTTCCTTAGAAATAAAATCAATCAATGCGTAGTACTGAAACTATACGAAATGTGTGATTGAAAAAAATTTATGATAAAAAATTTATGTAAATGTCATTAAGAGAATTTAGTCTTGTTCTTCTGAGCTGTTATTGTCTGCTATACTATGTTAAAATTTGTTTTACTCTGCTAAGACCTACTCTGTAATGTTGACACATGCTCTGTTCTATCCTACTCTGCTAAAATTCGCTCTACCCAAAAGATCAAAAGAACAGGGCCGAGGATTCCACTCTTTTGGAATCATGTAACATGCATCAAGACATTAAGTACTATACAAAGACCTAATGTGTCTGTTGTCTAATAAAACTCATATAAAGGATGATAAATGTACAAGTGTTGGTTTCACATTGGTTGAAGAAGAGATAGTCAAACCCTTTATCAGGCTAAGGGGCTAAACCTCCTATGACTAGTAGAAAATATTAAAAAGGCACCCCTTAATTGCCACCGGTTCAGTTCAAACCGGTGGCAAAAATGGGCTATGAAATTGGAGGGAAACTAAAACAGAGTAAAAGGCACCGGTTCACATCAAACCGGTGGCAAAAACATAAAGGCCACCGGTTTGAACCGGTGCCCTTGTGAACCGGTTTATATTTTAAAAAAAAGCGGTTCCTTCTCCTCATTCCCCAACCCTAATTCTTCATTCCCTTTCTCTCGTCGTTTCTCTCTCCTCCCCTCCTCCTTCCTTCTCCTACTCCCCTAACTCCTCCTTCTCTTACTCTATCTTTCTCTTTCTCGATTTCCTTCTCCCTCACCTCCTTCTCCCTCACCTCCTTCTCCACCACGAAGCTAAAAACAACACTTTCACCACCACGAAGTGCTCCTTCTTTCTTTGATTCGAAGACCAAAACTTTCACCACCACCACCACGAAGAACAACACTTTCACCACCACATGCAACACCATTTTAATCAAAGACCACCACCAATTCGAGGTTTAATTGATTTTATTCGGTTTTCTTTTTTATTTTTTCTGGGTTTTTGTTTTAATCAGTTTTTTAATCGATTTTTTTTATGTTAATACATATTAATTCGTTTTTTTTTTATTTTCTAGTTTTTTTTTAGTTTAATCGATGTTTTTTTTTTTTTATTTTTGTATGTTAATCGATTTTATTTCGTTTTTGTTGTTTATTTTCTGGGTTTTTGTCTTAATCGATTTTTTAATCGTTTTTTTTTTATTTTAAGTGATTTTAATTCGTATTTTTATATATTTTCTGGGTTTTTTTTTTTAATTTTAAGTGATTTTAATTCGTTTTTTTTTAATATTTTCTGGGTTTTGTTTTATTTTAATCGATTTTTGTTTTTTATTTTTTATTTTTTGAGTTTTTTCTTTATTTTACACGATTTCTTTAAAATCTGGGTTTTTGTTCTTGTTTTTCTTTTTTCTTTTTTTTTAATCGATTTTTAATTTTATTTTCTGGGTGTTTGATTTTTTTTTTCTGGGTGTTTCGATTTTTTTTTGAGGGTTTTTTTTGAGGGATTTCTTAAAAATCTGGGTTTTTGTTCTTGTTTTTCTTTTTCCTTTTTTTAATCGATTTTTTATTTTTTTTTTCTGGGTGTTTGATTTTTTTTTGAGGGATTTCTTTATAATCTGGGTTTTTGTTTTTCTTTTTTCTTTTTTTTAATCGATTTTTAATTTTATTTTCTGGGTGTTTGATTTTTTTTTTCTGGGTGTTTCGATTTTTTTTTGAGGTTTTTTTTTTAGGGATTCTGGGTGTTTTGATAATTATTTTAATCGTTCTTTTTTTGGTTGTAATTGGTGCAGGTATATTGATGCAAGAATCAAGATGCAAGTTTTATTGTGATGTTGTAATTTTTTTTTTTTATTTATACTGTAATTTTTCCTTTTTGTATTTATACTTAATTTTTTTTTTGGATTTATATGTTGTAAACTTGTAATTTATCTATATTGGTTGATATTCGATTTACATTTTGTGTTCGATTTGCATTTTGTGTTCGATTTGCATTTTGTGTTCTATGTATATTAATCTGTACAATAAAATTACTAGATTCATATACTTTAATACCAAATACTCAAATAATTTTATGTGTAACAAAATACCAATAATGTAAAAAAAAAAATAAAAAAAAAAATATTTTGGGGATTAACCGGTGCCAAAAGTAATTTAAAAAAAAATTTGGATTTATTTTTGGCACCGGTTTACCGGTGCCAATAACTATTTTTGCCACCGGTTTGAACCGGTGTCTTTTCACCCAAGTAATTGGCACCCTCCACATTGGCACCGGTTCAAACCGGTGGCATTGAGGGGGTATGAACCGGTGCCAATTACGTTTTTTCACCTAGTGTATTGTCATATGGTTTTGGAATAGACTTTCCTTTAGACTTGTGAAGTGGACACGTGCCGAGCCTGCTTTCACGTTGATTGTGGTTTATATATATATATAGGTTTATTATCTCTCTCTTGGTTTGTGGGTATGGTCCAAAACCGTATTTAACATGGTTCATAGCCAGACCCACAATATGAGACCCTAATTTGCTAAAGTTCATTTGGCCAGGTTGAATAGGTCCGTGTGAGGGGAGCGAAGAAGCACTCTAGCCAGGCAAAATCACATGAGACAAAAAAGTTAAAGGGACCTTACATATGAGGGGAAGTGTTGAAGAATACACCTCCCAAATATTACCACATGTAAGTGTCCCACATTGATTGAAGAATAGAGAGTCAAACACTTTATAAGGCTGAAGGGTTAAACCTCCTATTGCCATATGGTTTTGGAATGGACCTTCCTTTGGATTTGTGAAGTGAACTCTCTCTCTTGATTTGCGGATATGGCCTAAACCCATATTTAACATGAAGGATGTATGTCTTCGATAAGTGCAATTACTAGATATATCAAGGATCACGATTATGGAGATAATTAGTTCATTCTATAGGGTCGTCAATGTTTGGTGCTAGATATGACAATTGATCTTTGGGCTAGCTTAATGGCCCAGAGCCTTATAGAGTGGATCCTACAAGGTCACACATAAGAGTATTTGGTTAAACAAGTTAGAGGGTCATTATTGGCCTCGTGAGTTCATAACATACCATGTTGATAATTAGGCTTGGATAGTTAAAAGAGTCTAATGGGTTTTGGACTTGACATGGTTTTATTTCTAGATATGATCTATAAATATAAACCATGCCTAGGGTTGCATGACACAACAATTGACATACAGTGAATTGTCACACAAGCAACCAAGCTTCCCAAAAACCCTAACTCTCTCTCTCTCTCTACTCGGCCCTCTCTCCCTCCTCCCTGTCCGTACGGCCCTCCTCCTTGGGTGGCGCGTGGGTGGTTTTGTGGTGTGTTCGTGGCTCAAATCTCTATTGAAGGTTGATTGAAGTGTTCACTCACAATTAAACTAGCATTAGTGGAGGTTTAATCCGTGCTCGTGGACTAAGTAGAGGAATCACATGTGGGGTTCTTGTTTTCCTTATTGTTCTTGTTCGATCACTTGTGGAATCACGCTTCAAAGGTATAATTCTTACTTCTTTATGTGTTATGCATGAGATCCTTGGTTTAGGTGCTTTGTGAATATGATTCATATATTTTCCGCAATTTAGTACCTATAATCTCCTACATAACATTCCTAATTGTGGTTTATAATTGTCTTGATTTAAATTAACACGATCAGATCACTCTCTTTGTCGATAAAAGTAACTGTGTACGATAATATTTCTATTAAGCTAAAATAAGAGATTCCTATTTCTACAAATTATTTTACATCTCAATTCAAATTAAAGTACACTTTACTACATTAGAAGTTTATAACAATAAAGGATTTAGGAGTTGGAAGGATGGTTAGTCCCTCCTTCTTTCCTCATGTGATAGGGGTTCGATTCCTCACCCCTTCCCCCTTTCTTGTGATAGTCATCCTCTTTTTCTTGTGATAAGAGTGGGGTCCTCCTTATATCTTACCGTTTTTTTTTTTTAAAAAAAACATTATAATACATAATGTTGTTAAGCTTATAATAAGCCATAACTTTTGATTCAATATTAAGGAAACACAAATTATTGAAAATTTTAAGGTATAGGCGACTGTATCATGCTCGGTACAGATAAAAAACCTGGAATGAACATTTAGCTATTTTGTAAAGAACATATAGCTGTTTTGTAAAGAACATCCAATTTTATTTACTTTTATTTTTTATTTTTTTATATCTAAAGAACATCTGTAACATTGATAAAAAAGAACATGATAATATTATGTGATGAACATTACTTATACTATTATTATATGTACCCATCATAATTTGAAGACAAAATTCAAACAATATTATGTCACAAATAAAAGTACATTAAACTAACAATCAAAGAATATGGTCATATGTTCTTTCTACTCTTTATTGGTGCAAATATGATCTTTTCATTCTAGGTATATGTTTATTACATTTTAAAAATATGTTAACTCTAAGTAATTTTCATTACATTTTAATATATATATATATATATATATATATATATATATATATGTTCATTATTTTTCTAGATTATGTTATTTCCTACAAAATGGTTGTACAATGCAGCGCACCGGCTCCTGCAGGGAACGATTGCAAATTATTGGGTGAGCCCACCTAAAAGCCAATATATAATAACTTATATGAAAATTTTAAAAACTTTTATGAAATTTAATTTTTTAAAAATTTAGATGTAAATTTCATAGTTTAAATGTTTAAAATTTTTTATTATATGCAATGACTTATATCCATCTCACCATGAGTACTCACACAATTTCTTCTAGGTAAGGGTTATGATAAATTTAAGTGTTTTTTTCCATCTTTATTAGTATTAATATATTTTTTCCAATTCATTCTCATTGGTAACGGTATAATTTTATTGCCAAGTTCTCTTAAGTAGCATTAGTTTTATAAATTGTATCTAATCTAGCTTTTTTCGACTAATTTAGACATAATTAACCAATAGGACCTTAGATTAAACATGGTTTCGGGATGAGGTCAGGTGGTACGGTGTTGTGGTGGTTGTGATGAGGTGGTTGCTATGGAGTACGTGGTGGTGGACTGGTGGTCATGGTGTGCTGTCATGGAAAAGGGTGGGGACGTCGGAGGAGAAAGATTATATATATATATTAAAAAAAAAAAACTAACTTGGTTAACAAGTTGTAGGTAAATGAGATTGTTCTAAGCAGATGAGGGTAGAAGGTGTGATTGTTTTCAGATTACTTAATTAAGGGTGAGATTAGAATTTGTTATATACACCCGGATGTACCGTACACCCATATCTATTTTGTTTTCATTTTGATGATTGTTTTTCTTTTTAATCATCAAATGAAGAGCAAAATTAACCATAGGTTAGTAGGGTGTACGGTGCACCCAGGAGTATATAAAAATATTTCATTATTTCGAGTAAAAGTGACAAAGGTAAAATTATTTTTTTAATTTGTCTTTTTAAAAACTTATAAAAGATACTGGTAAATTTTTTAGATTAGTGCACAAAATAAGTTGGGAAGAAAAATACGGCTAGGTAACTAATGTTATTCATGCCTGGCCGGATAAAACTACGTAGTATTTACCTCTAGTTCGCATTACTCGCTACAAAGGGATATTATTTACGAGGCATAAAATAATCTTTTATTGCGAGTAATGCGAATCGGAGGTAGTATTTGTTTGATTACAATAGATGTACAATATGTTTTTAGATTTAGCAAAATAAGTGCCAAAAATCGCATATTATATCCCTAACAAAAGTAATTTCACTTTCAGAACTTAAAAAATGGACTGATTAGCTTTTGTTATACGCTTTCTTCATTAAACAAATACTCGTAAGTATCATCTTAAATTCTTAATCCCTAAACTTTGGCCCCACATAACTAAACTTTGCCCCCTTACTTGAGAAATTTCAAAGTGTGGTTTATGAGATATGACTTGGCTCAATAATTGAGTCACGATACAACTATTGCATTTGATTTAATTTTAAACTGGATCAATCTACACATGTATTATGAAGGCCCAACTTATTACGGAGATAAACAAACATTGTTAATTATTACAGTAGTTAATTAGTATGCAACTTAATAACGTTTAACAGTTTAAGGGAGATATTGCGTTCGAGCTTCACCGTAAGCTATAAAACTCTTATTGGAACACTTACCCACCATAAGCCAAATGAGTAACTCAAGTCGAATTCGAATATAGTCGGAGCTAAACTCTGACAAACTGAATGAACATCCTAAAAAAAATATGACACGTTCCTAGTAAAATCAATACCTCGTAAATAATAGAACACATATTAATAAGGAAAATGCTAACGAACGCCCCGGAGGCGTTGGATAATCTAGTTAAAAGTAGAAAGATTAAATAAAAACTAACATTAATTAAACCGATCGACGCATAATTTTGTCATGCTTTCCCAAATTAATACCACTTTAGGTAAGATTTTAAATGTTTATCCAACGGGCGTCATTAGCAAGATCCTTCTTAATTACATAGAGTAGTGAATAATGAAAGTGACGCCCAATTACAAGCAATTTCCACTGCATTTCCTAGGCCAACTCCTTTTATCCGACAAATAACAATAACACATAAAGCGATAAAGGCACCCACAGTTTTAGTAGGTGCGTCACTACTCACTTCCAAGTACTCTGCATACTGCCCTGCCCATTAGTCATTATTCACACTAAGCTACTTGTACAAAAATAAATGAAATAACCTTATTGTTTGTCTTAGATTGTATTACTGTTTTTCGTGAATCTTTGCAAAAACAAATTCTTATTGTTTTGAGTCCCCTTCATGTAGGCAGGTAAGAAAGGGCCCAGCAAAGCTAATTAGCTAAATAATGTCCCAAATAAAAATAAAATCCCACCAACTTACTTATAAAATAATTTGTTTTAACAATTTTTTATTTTCTTTTGGTAAAGCTAAGTAATCTATTGAATACTTCTCGTAAATCAACCTAACTCCAGCTAAACAACTCAAACACTGAAACACTACTCACAAGTTAATCAGCTCCAGCTTCATAGATTAAGGGCCTGTTCTCATTGACTGAACTACATTGAGCTGAACTG